TTTGGCCAAAGGAACGGAAAAGAAGGTGTTAGCAATGCCAATGGTGGCATACCATTTGGCTGCTTTTGATTCCAGTTCATACTGGAGTTCTAACATGTCCAGCACAGCAGCACTGAGTGGGAATGTGCTTTCATTCAGACAGTAGCCTACCGTCAGCCTCCACTCTCCACTGGCTTTACACACTGGCCATATGAGGCTGTTAAAAGATGAGTTTTCCTTCCCCCCCCACTGAGGACAGGGCCCCTGTCTTGGTTATCTGCAGTAACTGTAGCAATTTGATTGGGGGTTGTTCTGTTTTGCAATTCTCTCACTTGTGCTTGTTGTGCAGGATTGGGTTTTTTATGCCACTTCTTCATGTTTCCTCCATGTTTACAGAAGTAACTCTACAAGGCAGCAGGCAAAATAGATTTACTACTGTAATTTGCTCAAGCAGGAAGACATTTACATTTGATAGCTGAGATTTTAATCAGTTTGATCAGCTCCTTCAGCAGACTCTTGATCATCTTGGTCTTCATCAGGTGTTTCTGATACCGCCATGAGTTCATCACAATTAATCAATAGAGACAATTCCTCACATACCATCCTGTTTTTTCTTCATTATTTTATCTATCATCTTATCCAGTTTATCTACTCTTTCTGTTACCTGGGAAATGGCTGAAATGGAGGCATGGGATGGACAATCAGTTCATAAAGTTCATAACAATCAGTTCAAAAACTGGGGTCTTCTTTGTTGGTCCTCATCAAGGACCCTATGGAACGTTACTACAAGTATACCAGCATATCTTTCCAGTGCTGTTCTTGTGAGTTTCTGCCATATATCAGATGTACTCCTAACTCTCTCAGGATCATGGTGGGTTGTTAGGAACAAACATGGGTCATACAACATCTCTGCCATGGCTGTTTCTCTCAAATACTGGATACCTTTTTCAACAGTATTCCACTTTCTCATCTCAGGCTCCAGATCATCTCTGAAGGGATATCTTTCCTTCACAGCTAGCGACACTCCTTCCCAGAGGGTGACAACTCCATCCAGACATCTACTAATTCCTCTGTCAATAGCTGAGTCTCTGGCAAAGCTTCCCAGTTGATGAGCTTTGTTACAATCTAGAAACACACTACTGGCCCTGTTGTCCCAACACCAAAGCAGCCAGGTGACAATAGTTTTGTTTGGGTGCCGTATGAGCTCCTTTCATGAGCCTTAGATTTCAGCCATTTTCAGGGATCTATGAGTAGTGGTAACAGTGACTTCCTCCTCCTCACTTTTATCTCCATGTCTCTTAGTTTTTTCTGTTGCCTTTCTCAATTATGGTGATTTTGGGACAGGCCCCTCACCTGGATCTTCCTCTACTTCTTCTTTCCATTCTAGATGTGATGACACCCATTTCCATTTCTGCCCCTCCACAAGGGCAACTGACATTGATACTGGTGCCTCCTGTGATTGGACAGGTTTGACTTGAGATTTACCCCTTTGTTTTGCATCTCAGCTTGGAAACTCTCTTTCTCCTGTATAGATTTATATAAAGCTTGGTAAGCACAAGCCAAGCTTGTGCTTGTTTGTAAAATTAGCTACTCCCTCTGTATAGGTACCAGCCAGATATCTCCATCAGTGCCCTTAATTGGTTATACATACATGCAACTCTGAAACTGAAAATGATGAGCCTAATAAGAAACCAGTAAGTTCCAAGAAACATAATGGTCTTTAATTCTTTATATAATGCTCTTAAAATGAAGAACAGATTCATTTGCAGCTGGCAGTTGCTAGAAAAGGAAGACTGCACCGACTGCACTCGTACAGTGTCTAGAGTCTTGAGAGTCTAGAGTCTTGCTGACTGTTGTGATGAGGAATACTAACAGAAAACCACAAAACCGCAACACTCACCAAGTTCCATCTGTGTCTTGTCTTTCCTAATCCCATATCTGCAAGTCTGGACAGCATCCCTGTATTCTTCCCAGGTGTCACACTCTTGCTTCCACTGTGTGTACCTGCCCATCTTTACCCTCAGTTTGACCAGCAGGCCCTTGCCAAGCCATGCTGGTTTCCTGCCTCCCTTACCTCCTTTCTTATTCTGAACATTCTCAGAAATGGAACATTCTCAGAAAGGCATCCTTAAGGAGTAGCCAGTTTTGTTCACCTCCTTTGTCTCTAAGGTCTTCTTCCCAGAAGATCTCATTCAACAATTCCTTCAATCATCACACAGAATCACAGAATCACCCGGGTTGGAAGGGACCCTAAGGATCATGTAGTTCCAACCCCCCTTCAACAATCAAAAGATCTCTTTCTTGAAATTCAGGGCCCTGACTCTACTCTTTGCTAGTGCCATGTTCCTCAAGATCATAAACTCAGCCAGGGTGTGGTTGCTGCAGCCTAGGCTGCCTTCAATATCAGTATCTTTAACAACCTCCTCCACATTAGTGAGCATCGTTTCCAGTAACACTTCACCTTTTGTTGGTCTGTCCAAAATCCGAATCAGAAAGTTATTGTCAATGGATTCCAGGAGTCTCCTGGATCACTTGCAGCTCACCACGTTGTCTTGCTAGTGGATATCTGGTTAGTTGAAATCACCCATCAGGATGAGAACCTTTGAGTGTGAAACTTCTTTCAGCTTACAAATGAAGGCTTCATCAAAAGGCTCCTCCTGAACAGGCAGCCTGTAGTAGAGCCTGACCACCAACTGTCCTCTATTGGTCCTATCCCTAATTTTAACACACAGGCTCTCCGCCTGTTCCTGGCTGTTTCTCAGAGCTCCTCCACTTCTTAACACAGAAGGCAATGATTCCACCCACTCCTCCTACGTTGCCTATCCCTTCTAAAATGTGGTGGTGTTCCAGTTTTGTGAATCATCCTACCATGTTTCCATGATTGCAATAAGATCAAAATTTCCCAAGTGCACCACGGTTTTCAGCTCCCCTCTCTTATTTCCCATCTTGCCAAACTAAAACATTGTGGTGGTCCAAAGCAATATTGTCACAAGTTGAGAGATTTGGGTTTTATTTATATATATAAAAACTCTGATGTAATATTCCATGAATTATTAATTAATGATGTAATGCATCGTTCCAACAGTGTGCATTTTATACACAGATCTGTACAATGTCTTAATCTCATTCTACCTTTGCTCTTCTTTCATTTCTTATTCCTAGAAGGGTACAATAAAGATGATCTAGTGTTAAACCTGGCACGTATTGCAACACTATTTCTCTCACACTCGTTGAAATGAACAACAAAGAAAAAGAAAAACAACTTAAGAATAGAGTTTCTTTTCCCATTCTCTGGTTCATATTGGGCAAAAGGAATCCGGGCGCTCAGAAATCACAGCTCTCATATTACAGAGTATCCATTGTAATTGGAGATAATCCACAACCCTGTTTGATCTTACCATTCTTTCTCTATAGAATTACACTTACACTTCATCATGTGGATCTCCATGTTTACAACAGAAGGGAGCTTTAAAAGAAATTGGTTCCTCTGTTCATTCAAAAGTTGTTCGTTCCAAAGTTTCTTATTTTTTGGCTCTTGACCTTTCCTAGACATAGAAATTGTATCAGAATTAAATTGAACCAGAATTAAACACCACAATTCTAATTTCTCACCACTCTACCATCCGTGATAAGGTTTTTATCTACATCATTGTACATGAGTTTCTTTGTTTCTTCCAGTGGAATTCTTAAGCACCAGATGGATGGTACTCAAAAATCACCAGTTAGTTACTTCTGATTTTCTTTTCAGTGCTCATGCATGATTCTATGGGCACTATTCAGCATGTTTTGAAGAGAGAATTATTATGTTTATATATTTTTGATAATTACATTTGTCAGTATAATTTATCATTGTTTCTGGTTTCTTAGTATCACTAGTTTTGATAATTACCTGTACCATGATGAAATTAAACTAAAATGTGCTCCAAAATATCCTTGCCTCTGCAGTAAAATTAGTAACACTGTGAATCTACTGTCACTAACAAAGGCAGTATTCCACTCATTTTCTGGAGATTAGAACAGCACAGGGGAAGGACGTTCCTAAGACAATTGTTTTTCACGTAGCTACGTTCCCATTACTGTAGTTATACCATAGTTTGAATGGGGGCAGATCTACCAAGACCATACTAGCTATCCAGCTGTTATGTCTTTTTCTTTCTCCTTTCCTTGCTATGAGCCCTACTACCTCCACGTCTGTGACTTCACTATCATTTTGATGGCCAGAATCACTTTCCCACCCACTTCTTTGGAGGCCTCTACTCAATCACTGCGTTAGGTAGATATCCCACTGAGGCATGCAACCCACAAACCTATCTGAGTCCTCTTACAAAAGGCATTGGTATGTACTGACGGAATTCTTCTGCTGATTTCTTCTTCTGCAGATTTCTAGGAACCCTCTACATCTGACAATTCCGTAGTGTGCAGAGGACTTCTTTTGTCTAAAAGTATCCAAAAGCTGATCTGCTACGCTCCTGCTTAGGACTCGTGCATGGTGTCATCCCTTAGAGGTTCAGCGCCCTACAGCCTGGCCCTAGTTTCCTTTGGAAGACAGCCTCTGTCTGCTGCTAACTGAGAAGCAGCAGCCTGGCAGCCCTAGTGCTGCAGGCACGTACGGAAGTCAAGATACGACAAAGGAGAAGGAGCTTTTTCGTGCCCAATAGCCATGGCTAGAAAACAAACAAACGAAACTAAATAATCCAGTTTATCTTCCAAGCACTTGGCTAGACACACCCTCCTCACGCCGCTTTCACAACGGCACTCGGCTGGACCTATTTACCCTCACCGACACCGTATCTCGCCTTCGTTTCCCCTGCGGCGCACCCCAGGCGGCCCCCGCCGTTCGCACGACAGCCTCGGCCTAAGCGCTTTCGGCCGAGGAAAGGGGCGGCGGTAGCAGGAGGTGGAGACAGGCACTAAGCCACCACCTCCCGCCGCCCGAGGAAACGGCTCTCACGTGAGGGAGGCGGTAGCGCCGAGCTCACCCTGCCCGCTACCTCGGAGGAGGTGCTGCCGCGTCCCCGGCTCCGCGTGCGGCTCGGCGGCGCGGCAATGCCCACCAACTTCACCGTGGTGCCGGTGGAGGCGCAGGGCGGGGAGCGGGACTCGGCGGAGCGGGATGCGTGGCGACAGGAGGAGGAGGAGGACAACAGAGACCGGAGCTGCGGTGAGAGAGGGGAGCGGGGTGGCGGCGGGCGCTCGGTGAGGGCAGCGCCGCGTCTCCGCGTCAGGGGCAGCGACGCTGCCGGGCGGTCGAGCGGGCCGAGGCTCTCCCGGGGGGCCCCGCGCCGGCTGCTGGGGCGGATACGTTTCCTTTCCGTAGTGGGTGGCGTCCGCTCTGCCTACGCAGGTGAGGCGGTGCGCTTCGGGAGAGGGTGAAAGTCCAACGCGAGAGGCGGCTGAGAGCTTCTGTTCGCGCGCTGCTGCACCGCCGCCGGCCGGGACGAGGAAGCAGACCCGGCTCAGCTCGGAGCGGCGCTGCGGCCCGCCGAGGGCGGTGAGCGCCTGGTCCGCCTGCTATCGCCTGCTCAGGAGAGCAGGAAGAACCAGCGCCGCAGGCAGGGTGGAAGATGTGTCTCTCCTTAAAAGTCAAGTCCTGCCACAGTATGCTAGAGCAAGAGGCAGGAGGAAAAGTTTCAGGCCGTGGAGAAAAGCGTAATCGTAGGTGGTTTGTTTCAGGGCCAGCCGTGTGCCTTTCTGCCAGCATCCGTCTCTCATTAGGCGAGGTTTTTGCTGCCTGGCAGTGCTGTGGTAGGAGCCTTGCCTTCTGCTAGGCCTCACCCCTGAAGTTGCGAAGGTGAGCAGAACAGAGCCTGAGGTGAAGCTTTGTAACGTTGTGAGCAGGACAGTCCTCAGGGCAGCCTGTTTGGCGACAGGATGAACATTTGTCTACAAGCAGCGGTGGGTTAAATAAGAGCTTTTCTCACTCAGGCAGTAAGGCTTTTCTAGGGAAGCAATAACTCTTCCTTCAGCTGAGGAACTTCCTCTTTGCAGAGCATGTTGCAGCAGCAGTTCCAAGTATGGTCCCTGAACTGCTGCTAGCAGTATGAAGACTCATTGAGTCTTACGTGGTAGTTTGGACACTGCACTACAGTCAAAACATGTTCTGAGCCCGAGTTCAGTAAGGGAGACTAAATGCTCTACTCAAATTCACGGGCTGAGGAAATGAGCAATGTACGTAGTTTCTTGAGGTACTGTATGGATGTGTGTACTGTGTAAAGCTGTGATGCATAAGATTGTTAAATTAATGCTTTGTAATCAAATAGTTGTCCGTAGCTCATTCTCCTGAGAACTTAATAAAAAAAATACTAAAATACAAGCTTTGTTATTGGCAGCTAAAAGGTAGTGTGATTAAGCCCATCTAAAGGCTAAACTGCCAGAAAACAAAACTCATGCAGTGGGGAAAAACATGCTTCTCCTGTTCCTGAAGGTAAGCTGAATGAGTGCTGCAAAAATACGATGATTGCTAGAGTTGTAACAAGGTGCAGAGAGGATACAGTGAAGAGCGGGGATGGAAATAAGAAAAGAGGTGGAATGGTACATTCCTCTTCAGATTACCCATGGTTTATATACCCTACATGATTTTATTATTTGGGCTATCTAGAATTTTATGTTTTAGTTGAATTAGCTGATGTAAAAGGTGAGTAATCATTCTGGAATTGTCTTGTCTGCAGCAGTGGTTTCTTTTGTGTTTGGTTTTTTTTTTTTTTCTTTTTAATTGTTTTGGAAGGAAGCAGAAACAGACTGTAAGCCATTGAATCACCAATAAAATATTCCTGGTGACTTATTATCAAGATACTTATCAACTGTTCTGTGTACTTATTCATGCATTCTCTGCTGATAACCTATGTGATCATAGAGTAAGTTGGGATTTTCTTACTGTATTTTCTTAACTCCTTCATGAACATATGAAATTCTGAAATGTTCTTTTTGTGTGATCCCTGTACATCTTTGAAGAGGGGGAAGTTTAGGTGAGTGGCTATTTGATTGGATTATAGTACTTACTAAGATAGGATTTGTGATGAAGAATGAGGGGCGAAGTGTAGAAATTGGTGTATGAATTGAAAGACAGAATTGAAGGTTGGAGCCTTCCATAACTACAAAGTAGCAGGAGGAATTTGTATGTACTTGTGTTGTTCAGTGTCCTTGTAATTCCATACAAGTGAAGGAAGAGTAGTTAGGGAATAATTGGTAAAAGCAGGGAAAAAGGAGGAATGTACTGCAGTAAATGAAGTTTTTTGAGAGTTTCTGGCTTTCTTCCCTTATCTTTACATGTAGCAATAGTGAATGTTGATCGATTTCAAAGTTTTGACAGATTTATACTAATTTGTTTTTCATTAGCCATCCAACATATCAAGTATTTCAGAACATAACTAGCATCCCGTGGTATTATTTACCTGGTAACAGCAGTGTCTTATTTACAAAAGAATATGATAAGTAACTCCTACAAAAATTCTTAAATTGAAGACCTTCAGTTACAAGGAGTATCAGTGACAAACCTACTCATCTTCAAGTAAGCTATTAAAAAGCACACCTTCCCCTCCCCCTTACACAGTCAGGAAAATGGCATGTCATTTTAGGCATGTTATAAACTGGCAGTAAATTCTACTGCTCGTAGGCATATAATCTCTTGTTTCTTTGTTCCTGAACTAATCGTAAAATCAAGTTAATACTTGTCAATCCCTCTTCAGATCACTCATGATTTCATAAACATCACAGCTCAATCCTATCACCTTATGAACTTAATGCTAGAAACTGTTAATACAATTTGTCAAACTACATTCTAACCACCTCTCTCATCTGAGTACAACATACATTTCTTCTATTTTCTTATTCAATTATACATTAATGGCTTATCTGAGATCTCCTTTTTGATTCTATGGCAGCTTAACTTCCTTAAGCATGTTCAGTGAATGACTAGTTGTTTTGTCAGATTGTATCGGAGATCCTTGCAGACTGTATAAATTGTATTTCCATTACGTACATGCTGGTTGATTCTCTCCTTTAGCTCCTTTAGCTTTGGGAAACAGTGTCCTTTTACAGAAGCCATTGGTTGCTTTCCCCTTTACCCCTGGAATGTTGTGTAATACAACTCTGAAATGGAAAATACTATTCCTGTTGCAGAGAAATGCATACATGACACTTGGTCTCAGACACCATTGTTAAGTATAGGAGTCATCTTTGCTTTGAGGGGCATTGGCCATCCAGATCATCTCCTGACGAATTTCTAGCTCTGCCATGGGACTCTAATTGATCCATTCACATTTCATAATGATTGGAGCTATGTCAAGGCAAGTGTTCCTGCTCTGTTAATAGCTACAAGGGGAATTGTTTCCACCTGTGCAACCAGGGCTGGCCTTGCCCCTTTACCAGGTTCAATCACTGGTTCAGGCTGTGACCTAATAGTTCCCATACACTCCACTGTTTCAGAGCATGAACCAATGGCTGAGCATATCAGGGTCAAGCTATCCTTTGCGGTCTGGTTCATAATTGCAATTGTGACATTTGCTGTGATGCTGATATTATTTCCCATTGAGTGGATACAGTTTTTTCATCATGACTTAAAGAATCTATAATCTTCAATTATCGTAAGAATTATAGAATATTTAGAGTTGGAAGGGACCTTTAAAGGTCACCTAATCTACCTCCCCTGCCATAAACATGGACATCCCCAGCTAAATCAGGTTGTTCAGGGTTTGATCCAGCTTTGCCTTGAAAGTTTCTGGGATGGGGCATCCAGCACACCTCTGGGCAACCTGTTGCAATGCCTCACCACCTTCACTGGAGAAGACTTTTTCCTTATGTCCAACCTGAATCTATCCTCTTGAAGCTTGAAGCCATTTCCCCACATCCTATCACCACGGACCCTGCTAAAGAGTCTGTCCCTTTCTTTTCTATAGCTCCCATTTAGATACTGAAATGCCACAGATCAGGTCACCTCAGAGTCTTCTCCATGTTGAACAGGACCAGCTCTCTTAGCTGGTCCTTACAAGAGAGGTGTTCCATCCCTCAGATCATTTGTGGCCCTCATCAGGAAGTGCTCCACCACGTCCGTGTCTCTTCTGTACCAAGGACTCCACATCTGTACACATACTCCAGGTGAGACCTCACCAGCACAGAGTAGAGGGACAGGATCACTTCCCTCCACCATGCTTCTTTTGATGCTGCCCAGGATATGGTTGGCTATCTGGGGTGTGAAGGCACATTGCTGGCTCATGTCCAGCTTCTTATCCACCAGTACTCCAGGTCTTCAGCAGGCCTGCACTCAATCATTTCATCCTCCAGCTTGTATTGGTAGTGAGAGTTGCCTCAACCCAGGTGCAAAATCTTGCATTTGGATTTGTTGAACCTCATGTCAACTACACCCCACAGCTTGGTGTCATCCTCAAACTTGCTGAGAGTGTGCTTGACCCCACTGTCAGGGTCATTAATGAAGATATTAAAGAGCATTGAGTAAAGAGTATTGATCCCAGCACTGACCCCGTGGGATATGTCCTTCCAGCTTCTTTTGCAAGAAATGCTTGAAAGTCCATCATAAAATGTCACTGAAGAACAACATACTGGGGTAATTCTTCAGTGACACCAGAACTCCTTCTGCTTCTGTCTCTGTTGGTTGTCCTGGCAAGCCATGGACCTTGGGGAGAATAGCATAAGTATTTAATTGGCACTGAAAGAGGCACATCTGCCCTCCATGGTGAAATACATACCATATTCCTGTCCTGTGTCAAACTTTCCACTTGGACGAGGCATGTCCAGGCCTTTTATACTACACCCTTTAGCCTGATATTGATGATTGAATAATTATATTAGGTATCAAAGGGGGAGTTTTGATCTACTGGAGTGACATAATTAAGGTCCCCTTTGTAATGAAAAATTGGAGTGTGTATTATAATTTTGGATGGCCAAGTGCCAATTTACTTGTGGTATTATCATTCATTTCCCTTCTAATAACTCCCACCGTGATGTAAGTAAGCCACACCATTTTGGCCCCACTTGCACTTCCCAAAGTCATCTTCTAGATTCTCAGGGGCAGGGAGCAGAAGATTATTTATCATTCAAATGGGGATCTCAGTTGTATGTCACTTCTCTTAATTTGGATCCTAAGTGGGGAGGCCCAAGTTGTTTGTAACATGGGGCCGGATGGCGTGCATCCCAGGGTCCTGAAGG